TCTGAGATCTCAATCACGACACACAAAAAAAGATACTGTGGGTTGGTTTGGGCTTCATTTTCTTGTTGTCATCTTCAGAATTTTGCTGTGCAGCTCAAGTTTAGTGTGTGTGCCCTTAATTGCTTGGTGGGTATGCTTCAAAGTTTACATCTTTATGATCTGTTGAGTTGTTCTTTAGATGGTTGAATTCATGGCTTGTTTATGAGATTTGGGTTTTCGAAAGTTGTGAAGTTGTGCTATGTTTTAGATTTAATGAATCTAGGTTGTTCATCTGAGTTTTGTAGCCTTTATTAATTGTGCATTTGGTGACTTTGAGGATTTGATGTCTCTTGTATGGCCTGGTTTTTCTTCAATTTTGGAGCTCCTGTTTTGCTCTGAATGTTGTTTTTTGATGAAGTTTTCTTTGGGAGATCAAGTGGTTGCCTCATTTTCCCAGTTTGAATTCTGGGTTTTATGCAAGGATACCTTGGTTTTAAATAGCTGGTACAATACTTGGTTTTGGTCTTAGCTTTACCGATTTGATTTTCTGGAAGTTGAAAAGTCTTAATGGCTTCATAACATTCAATTTTCTTCTGGTGATGTTGCTTGAAATTAAATGGGCGTTTGCAGGAATTCATTTAATTGGTGCTATTTACTGTTGGTTGGTAGCTAGAATGTCCTTGGATGTTTATGATCTTAAATCTATTTCTGCAAAATATTTTTTGTTTTTTCTTATTGTTACTGAAGATTTGATTGTTGTTGGTTTGTCGATTTCGCTGCCCAGTTTCCTGCCAGACCCAGCTCTGGTAATCAAACTTACCTGTCCTGGGTTCCCTTTTCTTTGAACATTTTCATTTTTGTTGTCTTTCTACCGGATCTGCATTTTCCAAGTAATTGCAGTATAATTTTCAAATGAATATACAAGTGTAAGCACTTAAAAGTATCAACTAGGAATCATCTACCTTTTTCCCTTGAATTTTTAACGTTCTGCTTACTAGTCTAACTCTATGCTAGGTTGGGAAAATACTATCTCTAATCTGAAGAATATGAGCTACACATTTCAGCCAGAAAATATAACTCACATCTATATGCATTGTGTGGTGCTATTGCTTTACAGGCTTTTGAAGTCCTTTTGACTACGATCTTTCTCCGGCTAGCTTTGAGGGATAAGAACTTCATAATTGAAGATATCTTCTCAGATTTTTTATTGAGACAAAAGAGAAACATGGTTCAGAAACTAGAAGCTATCAAGGGCGGTGGAGGATCCATCAGAGTTGGCACTACCGGAACAATCAGTGCTCTGATGACTAGGGAATTGGAATCAGTTAAATCTGTATCGCAGACACCAAGATCTCATCCTGTTTCAATTCCCTGTGGCACAACTTCTACTAAAAAACTACAACCAAGAAAATCATTAGATGGAGCAAGTACAAGTGGCAGCAGCAATAACATTAACCACAGAACTCATGAAATTCCCCGGAAAACAAAAAGCTATAATAAAGGTACCCATCGAATCCCAATGCTGGCCTCTGATAACGTTTCTTTGGATAGAACTCCTAATCAGCAGAAAAATGACAAGAAAAGATCTAATATTGTGGAAATTGTGGACATAAAATGTGGGCACCCAGAAAGAGCATGGGCTAGCCCTATAACTAATAAGCTCAAGAAACTTGGATTCTCAAAATTATCCGAGAGTACTATCTAAACTTGCAGCTTCTTCACATCAGACTTCAGGCTCCTGTAACTAACACTTGAAATCCCAATTGGCCGACTGTTTTCTGAGACTTCCACCATAGAACATATGCTCGGTAGCCTTTTACCTCTTCCCTTTTTCTTCTTTTGGGTTGTCAACGCAGACACAATAGTCGGTCTAGGATGGCTACTAGAGGAAGCAATATCTTCAACATGAGAGTGTGGCTTCTGTGAGCTACCTTGGCTGCTTACTTCAAGCCTGCTAAAGTACTCAATTTCTTTCATTATGAGGGATCCAACAGTGCCTCTGGTGCCGATTTCTACAGGAGTGTGTGCAGCCATTTTCTTTGGAACTTCTGCAGCAATGTTGCTGGATTTATACCTGTTTTGTCTAGTTTGGGTGAATGAGTCAAGAAAAGATAGTGGATGTGGATGAAGACTGGAGTGTTTTTGGGTCTAGTCTTGGTGGGGAAGTTGCTTTTTGAGTCTGAAGCACTAGTTGGACTGGAGTCTTATACACATGTTTTCACATGACTTCTTTACCTCATGTTCTTTATCCAAAGCTATATGGTGACATGGTCATTGTATTCATGTGTCTGCAGCTACAACAATTACATTTCTAACAAGAGTAGTGCTTCTTTATTATCATTTACTCATTTGTAAACGTTCGGTGCTGCACATTTAAGCTGCATTAAGAACACTGTTTACTCAGAAATTGATGGTCATTTATGTGAAATCTGAATTCCCATATTGATATCCTACCCAACTAATCTGAGATAAAAAGTAAACAAGGTACAAGAGTTAAAATGAAGGATGAGTAAATTCATGGTCTTTTTTAGTAAACCTTTTGTTAACTTTTCTTGTCTTGAATGGCAAGGGAAAGGAAGAAGGTGGGTGACCTTTGATGGAGCAACTTGTGAGCTTTTCAGGTATGGCCAAGGGCATGGCAGAAATTAATTAGAATCTTCTCAGTAGCGTTTCAAATATTTTGTGTTGTATGCTTATTTCTATTCACATGTGGTCAATTTTTTTATTAACGTGATATTAGTATATATATATATATATAAAGAAAATCCTTTGTGCATAACCAATGAAGAATGTGAAAAGATTAATTTTTTTTTTTTTCTGGTTTCTTACCAGCTTGGTAAGGAAAGAGTAAATGAAAATAAAGAACCACCTCCCAATATTAATGGTGGCTGTTAAATTTGTTCATGTCAATACCAATGAAAGCAGAAAATACAGGTGAAATTTGTCAGGAAATAAGTTCCTCTCTTGACTTTTGGTGAAGGACTGGAACCTGTGGCAGAAGCAAGATTTTGTGATCCTATTCATCTTTTATGGAAGTAAACAGCCAGTCTTTAAGTTTGAATAATATCAACTTGGTTGGATTAGAGATTTAACAATTGGTATCATAGTGGTCTCGTTATATGATGTAATCTCTGTTTTAAAAACCGGACCAGACTGGTCGGTTGGACCGGGAACTGGCAGCTTCTCTGGTCTGGTTTAAGTCTTAGGGGGGTTTTTGAAATATTTTAAAATTATGAGTATATTTTTATAAGGGTATTTTGGAGATATATCAAAAGCTTAGGGATTAATTGGTAATTTTATTAGGGCATTTTTGGAATAAATAAATATTTTGGGGACCAATTTGATTTTTTTAAGAGAATTTTTGTAATATATTAAAATTTAAGGGGTTAATATGTAATTTTTTAAAAATAAAATATTGCTGACGTCATCGATCTAACCGGTCGATCCAACCAACCCATGATCCGGACAACAAAACGGTTTACCCTCATGTCCGAGTTTTAAAATAATGGATGTAATAGAGTATGACGACCTCACGAGGAAGGTAGAGAGTGTGTCATATCCCACTTCGCTATCGAAAGAAGCTAAATAAATACCCTTTTTTTTATGAAAAATGCTTGCAGACTAAAAAACATATGGGTTTGATAATATTATTGGGTTTTGCTTAAATTTTAATTGTGAGATATTTTTAAGAATAATAATATAATATTTGAAACTCGCACAACCTTTTTTATAATGTCACCATAAATTTGACGAGTAAATAAATCTAAAAATTACACTTTCTATTACTTAAACTCTTTATTAAAGAGCATATCTATAAAAATATGAGTCTAACAGAGTTTTTCTCTTTTAAATATAAATTAAAAAATAAGTTTGATTAATAAACTACGAGTCTATATCTGAAGAGTTAAATTTCACTCTTTATCTTAATTTTAATTAATAAACTACAAGTTTGTATGCATTTTACTTTTTAATTCTCTTTCCCATTAAATTTCTTTCTTAAAAATAAAATATATCTTCATTAAATTTCAAAAGTCTATTGGATTTGAATAAAAATTTTGCTATTTATATTTAGAAATTAATGAAGATACTCTTTATTTATATGAAATGTGTTCTTTAAAATAAAAAGTACTATTGAAGATGCTTTAAAGAATTTATCCATAGAAAATTAGAAACAAGAGTCCAACAGACTCTTTATTCTTTAAATATAAATAAAAAAGTGAGTTTGATTCTTTACATTTAGAGAGTCAAATTTTATTCTTTATCCTAATTTTAAATAATAAATTATAAATTTTTATGAATTTTATTTATAATTTATCTCTCTTATTAAGTTTCTTTCTTGAAAAAACATATTCTCTCATAAAATTTAGATAATCTATTAGATTTGAATAAAAAAATTGTTCTTTACATTAAAAATTAATAAAGAAACTTTTTATTTACATGAAAGATACTCTCCAAAATAAAGAGCATCATTGAAGATACTTAAAGCACCTCTAATGGTACTCTTTATTTTGAAGAGTATCTTTCACATAAATAAAAAACATCTTCATTGATTTTTAAATATAATGAACAAAATTTTTATTCAAATCCAATGCTTTTTAAATTTTAGGAGAGAATATAAGTTTTTTCAAGAAAGAAGCTTAATAGGAGAGATAAATCATAAATAAAGTGTATAAAAACTTATAATTTATTATTTAAAATTAAGATAGAGAATGGAATTTTACTTTCTAAATGTAGAGAGTCAAACTCATTCTTTAATTTATATTTAAAGAATAAAGAGCCTGTTAGACTCTTATTTCTATTAATAAACTTTTTATAATAAAGAGTTTGGGTTATATAAAGAGTCTTTTGGAGATACTAGTAAAGCAACGAGTGTAACTAAACTTCGGCCTGAATCAGAAATGAATCAACGGTCCAGATCATTCTTCTCAGAAGCCTTAGGAAATATCAGACACACCAGATTATTTCTTTCTCTTACATTCAACTAAACACACGTGTAGATAGAAACCGAAGTGATAAAGCCAGCTTCAAAAGAATCGTGGTTTAACAGATAAAAATCTAGAGTTATGGCTTCAATCTCATGCACTGTAACTCACCTGCCCTTTACTTCAAAACCTTTGAATTCTCAATCTTCTTTCCCAAAATTCAGTTCCCGGTTTCTGGGTACCAAAAACAATCTCAAATGGTTTAGACCCCACAAAATGGGACCCTCCAATGGGTCCAGAGCTCAGTGCTGGTTTAAGTTTGGCAAGAATGGTGTTGATGCTGAAGGTGCTGGCGTTTATGGAAGCCAGTCACGTGATGACTTTGATAGAGATGATGTTGAGCAGGTTCAGTCTCTTTTATTAAACATGCATGTATATCTTTATCTGTAAATGTACTTACTCTTTTGGCTTGGTTTATGTTCTTATGTGTATTTTTGGATAAGGGTGTGTTGAAATCAAGATAGTTGTTGTAGGTAGTAATTATTTAATTTGATTTGAGAAAAAGAATAGGGGGTTTTGGAATGGTTTTACTTGTGTTGATCTAAATTTCTGGTAATCGTATTTATGGCTTGCTTTTATTGTTTTTTACTAGAAATCTGGTATTTGAACTACGGAGTTTATGTTCTAATGGCGATAGAAGTTGGATTTGGTTTGGAATTAAGGGATTGGTTTAAGTTATAAGTAAAGCTAATCCCTATTAGTATCCCAAATTTTTCATCCAAGTGACATTCCTACTGTCACTTGGATGAAAAATTTGGGACATACTTTGTGGTGTGTACATTAAGTTAAAAGTTTAGCACAATAACAGCTTATTGGAAACATACATAAAATGTGTAGAAGCCAGAGAAATGTAGCAGAACAGGTGTGAGCAAATCCGAGTAACTTGCCTGAATGAGCTTAGTTAGAATTCTTTTAACTCAAGATCATTTATTTGCTTTGCGGAACTTGCTTCAATTTTAGTACTTCTGGAAAATCTAATTCTTCAAAAAGACCTTGGTGTGAATTGAGAAATATGAACTACTTTCTTTGAGAGTGAAAACAGCGTCTTGTCGATTACTGAGGAAACTATTGTTGCCCTGCAGTACTTCAACTACATGGGGATGCTTGCAGTTGAGGGTACATATGATAAGATGGAGGCTCTCTTAAGCCAAAACATCCACCCGGTTGACATCTTATTGATGCTGGCTGCCTCAGAGGGCGACAAGCCGAAAATTGAAGAGCTAATGAGAGCTGGAGCTAACTACACTGTCAAGGATGCAGATGGACGGACTGCACTTGATAGAGCCGCCGGCGATGAAATCAAAGACTTCATCCTGGGTTTTTCAACTCAGAAGGCATGATCTTATTTATTCTTATCACTGTTGTTTCAATTTTGATTTTTAGATATCTTGTGATTCATAATGTAGTAGTATGCGAGTTTGACTTTGTAACATTATTGGTAATTCAATTAAATTAGTTTTTTTTTTTTTTTAAGTTACTTAATTATATTATTAATTCTTTTATATGATTAAATTATAGTCATGGCTATTTTCATGAGTCTTATTATACCAAGAGTGAAGTATGCTTGATCTAGCTATCCCTGTGCATGATATGAAATAAAAAATGAGAGAAATATTGAATTAAAAAAGAAAATGGAAAATGGAAAAACAGTAAGAGTGTTACAGGAAGAATAGTTTAAGGATGGATGAGTCTTATTTCTTGACAGAAGTTAATATGTCAATCATCATGAAACCCAACTTCTTTCTTGATAACTCAAATTCTGGATTTATATGCCATTCAACAACTTCAGAAGGGAAGCTTGAAGGAATTCTATCTGGATTTCCATGGTATTCAAGAATTATAGAAGTCAACCAAGTATAGAAGTGAACCAGGAGGAAGCAGAGGAAGCTGACAATTGAAAGTAAAATTAATTTCAGACATTTATGAAGAATCTAGTTTCCCATAAATAATATATAAGAAAGATGGATTCATGTGTATTAAATTTTCCTAATCCCCATCTGAAAACAAAAACTTGTACAAAAGATTTAGGTATCCTCCAATATCTTACATTGAATATAATAATTCTACAAAAATATCCTGACCCATATCCTGCATATCTTGAATTGCATATGATAATTCTATAAAAATTAATTTATTTGTTTCCAAATTAATAGCATCAAAACTCAAAAGGGTAATGCTAGTATGTCTATAGCTAAATCATGCCAAAGATATTTCATATCACACCAACAATATCACAAAATATGCATCTGTATATCTGTAAAAGAATTTGATGTCTTGGATGACAGAGGTAAATCTCATGTTATGTAGTAGTGTGTACAATTACTGTTGGACAGTCAAATTCTGTGACAAAACACAATACAAAATGATTTCAGGCTTTCAGCAACCCTTGAAAAAAAAAAAAAGGCATTCATTCATCATGTGTTGAGTTAAAATTCTGTACGTATGATAATGTAATATTTAGAATTCTTATTGAAAACCTCTTGTGAATGTCTTTCCAATTACTTAAAACTTTTTTTTTTTTTTTTAACATCTCTTTAATATTTATTATTAATGAATAGCCAAAGTCAAGTATGTGGATAATAAGAAATATGTAATAAGAATAATAATATGGGATGTGAGAAAATGGAAAATGTATATACAGTTTTTATTCATGCCTTCTACTGGTTATTGCATGTACCAATGTCTTACCCACTCTGAACAGTTGAATAGCAAATATATAATTATATATAGGTGGGATGATTGTGATGTAACTAGGAAGATTCTATCAAACCATTATACCTAAACTATTAACATATTTAAATAATAGAAAAAACTATAAAAAAAATTCCTACTAGAAAAACTATAGAAAATCCACCCAAACTTCATCCTGATCAGATCAAGATCAAAAACTGAACTGGGGTTGGGATAGATCACAAACTTGATCATGTTTCTATACATAAGCAGTAACAATTTGATCATCAAGATTCAGTTTCATTACGACTCAGTCTACAATTCTTTTGTATCTATATTACAAAAATATAAAAACAAAAGATTTGTGCACGTTATTATAAGAAATTCTCTAATATATTAACTATAGTTTTATTTGAGGCAGCATTCAGCTCTATTTTTATTTTATTGCCTTAATCTTTACAAATATTTTAGTATCCTCTAATAAGTCGATTTCATAAGTTGAAATAATATTTCATTGAAACTCAAGTACTCTACTCTTCTGCAAGCTAAATTTACGTATATACTGTCATGTGAACAAAATGTTATATTAAGTACTAGTTAAATCATGCAAGATGCAGGCTCTTATTATCAACCATCAAATGTGACAGAAAAAAAAAAAAAAAAAAACCCAGAACTCTTCTGTGAGGATTCAAGGTAGAAATAGAGAGTCCCATTGAAAATATGGTTGGATCGGACTATATTGTTACTGTAATCTGAAAATGACTAATCTCCATTATCGTATCAGAATTTTCCATTCAGTTATGTTTTCATGAATTACACAAAGTGAAATAAGATGATTAGTTCGATTACTGCTTAAAATAGAGCTGAACAAGCTTCTTCAAAGTGTCAAATACACTGGTAAATGGGTCAAATGCAATAGGGGATTTGAGTTCTAGATCAGGAAATTGGTTTGTCAAAGCCTGTTGCATTCCAGACATGGACATCATTGCAGCTAGCTTACTATTAGACATCACTTCACAATCCTGTGGAGTATCCTTTATTTTGCTCGGATCATATCCAAAATTCGCCAGGTAAGATTTGTACTTTTCGATGAATGCACGTCCAGGGACCGGTGTTCTTGAATATATCTGAAATGTCAATGCCAAAGAACATACTTTAAATTAGAGACCTGAAATGATAATGCTGAAGAACACACTTTATCTAATTGATTACAGGTGCAAAAGTATCGACTTTTGCTTGAAAATGAATCCTCATTGCTATCGACAATTAAAAAATATACTGTTGAATCATAGACTTCAAGTTAAGAAGTCTGCATAATGTTTAATTTACAAACCGGTGTTGGTTAATCTATGATTATCAGATGCCAATGTCTAGAGGTCAAAGTCACTTAGCTGTAACTGAGAGTAATATTATTTCTAATATATACGGCCCCTGATAACTAGCAAATTAGGTGTGTATTAGTTTGAAAGAAGTGACAAAAATTTTGACATTGTCTATTCAAATTGCTAATTACCTGAATAAAACTTCTGTCTTTTGCTCCGGAAACAAGAGAAAAATTGTCATAGTCAGTAGCAATCACATCGTAAGGCTCCTTAGGAATAAAAGGCAACGTAGGAAAACGAAGATAACATTTTTCTCTAATCATCTCTTGTTTCTCTAGGTCAGTCTCATTATTCTCCCGCTCATCCTCCGGAACGCATTGAACCTTTCCTCTTATTCCAGTAATGTATCCATCAGGGCCCCCATGAACACAAAACGTATCAACCTGGATAGAGGGTGCCTCCATATCAAATGTGTATACACCCTGCACATTGATATATGATTAGAATTCAGTTATTGAGGGTATAAACAAAAATAAGAAATGCCAACATAAGTTTAGTTCCGCAACAGGATCAATCACCTTTTACAACACATTAGACCAATTTGTATTTACAAAACAGTTCAAATGCTTGCCAAATGGAGTAGACCCCAGATTACATATCTTATAACGACCAGAAGCTTAGGATGGCTATAACGTTATAATTTATCTGAAATGCACTTGCTGAACCGGATAGTGGAAAAGTTCAGGCTAGAAGTACAATGTCATATGGAGGAGGAAGAAATTAGGTTCCATTTTTGTCAACACAGGAGTTTCCCCCACCTAGTTTTTACCTGAGTGCAGTGGCAGTCTTCTTGACCTTGCCCAGCAAATCCACGTTTGAGCGAAGCAACTTCAAACCACCTTCCGGAGTATCTGACGGGGTCAAAATTCTTTGCTGTCATACCTCTCATCATCATAAGCTTCCCATTCCTTCCATCTGACCCTTGATCAATTGGAAGAGTTGGCGCGTTATCTGCTGCACTTGCAAGCTGGCATATATTGTGGGAATGAGATATAGCTGCTGCACCAACCTTCCAAGGAAAATGAGATCAATTGTTAGTAACGTCTCATGCCTGTGACTTTGTTGTACAAACCAATTTTCAGGCTATTAGAAAGAAAAGAAATGAATTTTAATCTCGGCAGGATCATGAACCAAAAAAATGAAGAACCGAAAACCCAAACATCTGTTCAACAAACTTCTCAGCTTTAGTGCAAGGATAACTCATTGACAAGAAAAATTTCTTTAGTAGTTTGGGTAATGATGGATGGTTTTTAGACTCTTAACAATATAAGCTCAATGAAAGTATCCCCAGTGAATAATCAGAGAACGACCCCATTGTTCATCTTCTTTGCAAAAAGCAACCAAGTTCCATCTCAGTAAAAGCTTGTATTAAGAAGTGATAAACTCACCGCTAAAAGCCTATCGCAATAGAGTTAATAAAACAAACTAACCTGATTCGTTTGAGAAAGAACAATTATGGAGGCAGCAATTCCAGATAATACTTGCTTTACTTGGCTTGTCAGCATGTGGTTGTCAAAAGAGCATTTTACCATTGTTTTCCCAGAAATTCCCCTACAGAAGCAGGTCAAAAAAATAATTAACTCTTCTATTTTGACATTCCAAATAGGCAAACAAGAAGCAATGGTGGTCGGACTCTTTCCTAGAACTAAAATATTATGGAAAAACACAACCTTTGAACATATATAGACCATAATTTACCAATTATACATAAAAAAATACTCATGATTAATAACTAATAGCCATTCCTTTCCACAATAATTAAGAAGCATCTAAACAAGCATGAATTTTGAGATTTAGCCCACACAACAACCAAAGACAACCTTGTCTGTATCCCACATTCAGTGATCATCAAAACCCATAACCAGAAGACAAACCAATGGTTACCCATTATCAAAAATTCTTTCTCCCATTATAAAGTTCTCACAGACCAAACAAACGTAAGAGAAACCAAGAGTATAAACAAGAATTGAATGAAAAAAAAACATGTAAATAAGGAAATGAGAAGTGAGGTGGGGTGTTGGTACCTGGAGATGGGGACTGGAGGAGAAGAAGAAGCACTGCATTGAAGGAGAGTAGCAGGTGATATTTGATGTAAAACATTTACCATTTTGTGTACAGTTCTTGATCTTTCTCTTCAATGTGTTCGTACTTTAACCCTCTCTTTTTTGACTTTAAAGTTGGTTCAATCGTTCTTGATTGAAGCTTTATTAGTAGTAACAGCGAGTGAAACAGTTGAATTCAGTTTATTACCGTTATGCTCCTTCACAAATATGCTAGAAATATCATCCAGCGACGTCGTGTTGCATATACAGTTAAAACCGTTAAATGGGTAGAATAACCGACATCACTTTTATATAAGAAAAATAATAAAATAAAAAATCATAAAATTAAGTCTTAGAAATTCCTGTTTCTTTAAACAACAAATTTAACAATTATTATTTTTTTCAAAAATATTCTGAAACACAGTTTATATTTTATGGCCTGTAATCTGTATTGATGCTATAGAGTGACTGAAAACTAGAAATCTAAAAGGCAAACTTTTGGCTAAATAAAATTTCTCTTTCAACTCCTTTAATCTCATATGTACAATCAAACGTAATTTCCTCCCTCGTCTATGACTTCTAAATTGTGAAAGTGATAACCAGACAAAACTTTAGGAGATGCAGATAAGATGGGATGAAGAAGTTCTCTTTTTTCTGCACCTCCAGAAAATAAAAAGGGTTAAAAGATAATGATACAAGACATTTTTTCAGTTGAAAGAATTGCTGGTTTGCTCTAGTCCATTATCAGAAGAGGCTATCTTTGAGGTTTCCACCTGTGAGTAGATTGTAAAATTTATCTTCTGGTTCATCACTTTTCTTCTCCATTTCCTTGATATTAAGATCCAATGAATTTGATGTTGAAGGTGCAGGTTTTTTGACTGACACAGACACAAATGCCACTTTCTTCGTGCTAGACTTGACTTTCGATGGATTTGAGCTTGGAGAAGAGCTTGAGGCGGCAAGCAAATCACCTTCCTGGGTGAATTCATGGCCAGGGGTTTCAGATGTGCCTGAATCATCTCCTATTTTCGAAGTACCATCAACCTGCTTCCCATCGTCACTCAGGCTTGCTAGCAAATTGATTTTGTTCTCATCAATATTAGTTGTTGGACGTTCTGCAGCAGCATGGTCTTTATCTGCCTTCTGAGAATCAGGTTCATCATCTACAGACAGTAAACAATATTGAACCACACAGGACAATTCAGTGTAAAAAAATAAAATAAATAAAATAAAAAACCCAAAAATTGGACGTGCTTCTAAAATGCAAAAAGTTGAGAGCAAAATACATTCTTACCCCCAAGAAAAGCCTCAAGACTTTGGTACCGTACAGCAGGATCTCCTGCAGGGATTTTGCTTCCAGAATCCTCTTCCTGACTGTTAACATCACCCATATGTGACTTCTCAAGTAATATGAATTTGTCTGTACTCCAGACACATTCTAGAGTAATATATTCCTTATCAGCTGGATAAAACTCCCTATATGCCTGTGACAATGTAAAGGGAAAAGAAGTAAGGATCTACAAATAAGCGATAGGCATAAGAGGAAAGGTTTTGACTAAAACGACTTGCAAAATTTTAAGAGAGCAGACAGACCTCAATCCCTTCCTGGGTTATTTTTACTGAGTGCTTCTTTTGGGATAGAGATGATACCATGTTGAATACTAAAACAACATCCAGTAGAATCTGGAAGACAAAACAACCACTGGATAATTTTTGCAAAACATAGACTGCAAAAGCATTAACTTGGAAGCTATACCCAACACTAAAACCAACAGCATCCGATACTATGAATATGGTAAAAAAAGTACCAATATTTTAGGGAAGAGCAGGATTATACTATTAAGTTACCCAACGAGATTGAAGATAGTCTAGCATTTTCTCTCAAATGGATACCAGTTGATATTATACACATTTACGTGAAAATCCATATCCATTCATTCTCATGTAACATCTCATATGACAAAACTAACTTGTACTTGGCTTGACACTGTCTGACAAATTGAAATCTAACCAAGTTTGGGAAAATGAATTGAGACTTACTTGTTGAACCAAGACACGAAGGCGTGCAAGCAAAGCCAAAATTGTCAGAGAAAACGACATAAAAAATGAACGAGCCAGCAAAATAGATACCTCACTGTAGAATAGTCAAGGATGAGAAAAGAAATATAATGTGAATTCTCCTATACATACATGATCAAGTTAACAAACTACATGTAGGAATCGAACCACTCATATGGGCATAGCTTTTTCAGCATATCTACCTCTTCAGAAGAAAATAGTGGACCTAATAAAAAATGAACTTCCAAAAGCAAGTAAAACCGGAGGGGAAACTCATGCTTCTTATATATATCTTGAGGAAACAATATATGGTGGCAAACTGGCCAGGTGCACAAAGCCACATCAAGATATTACAACGAAAATAACCACCAAGAAGTGAATAACGAGAAAAATTTAAGAGATACTAAAAGAAATATGGCAACTAAGTGAAGAACAAAGACTAACGAGTACATGAACTAGAAAAATGCATCAGTCCTTGAAATATCAATAATGTAATCACATGCTAAAAATCTCAAATAAAGGATACATAGCTGCCTTCAACATTGGCTCAACCATCTGCGACAAAAAAAAAAAAAAAGGCATATATGATTATATTAAAATGAAATGGTAAATCATGATAGACCATCCAAGCAGTTTCATACTATATAATTAAGGTTCGTACATGTGTACAGATATACACCATCTTTAGATTGACAAAAATCAGAACATATGACCTTATTTCCAGAAATCATATTTAAGTTTCTAGATTTTATACATGCTGAATAAGCATAGAGTGGAAAGCCTATAATAGAGATAGACAATAATTAGAATTGCAGAATCTAACAAAGATCACGTTAGAGCATAGGCAAAGAGATATTAAAGATTTACTTTTATAAAAACATGCCTAAACAATTAAACACGTACAATGATTAACTAAAATTATGCTAGACAAGAGTAATATCCTTTGACAAGAAAGGAAAATAATATGATAAGAAGAGGAAGGGGAAGGGGAAGGGGAATCCACACCTTTGACAATAAACGTGCAGCTCCTAAAAGTCTCTCCATAAAATTATATTTTCCACCATCACATTTTCTTCTCTTCAAACTGAGACATATAAATAAATAAAAGTAAACTCCTAAAGATAATATCTACCCGAACCAAAGCATAAAACAAATCTCATAAAAAACAGCTAAGGACAAAATTATGAACAAGATAGTTTATGCCATTAAATTTTCAGTGAAGATCAGCAAGCCAATAAACTACTGCACAGTAGCATTCTTTACCTTTTGCAATATAACAGGTGCATCCCTTAGGTTTCATGTAATTAGAAGCAGATTAATGGTTTGGGAATACAAGCACTTAGTCCCCACCGTTAACTTTCTTCAATCAATATGAATCATCAAGACAGTAATATACAAACATAATTGGCACAAGCATAAATTTCATCCATCAACAGACGCTTTTCCATTAATATTAGTGGAATGATCATTAAATGATGGACTCAGCACCTGTTTCAACAGACTTACCATCTACTTGTGATTTCATCAAATGTCAGGTGTCCCTGTTATTGACCTTTCCATATGATCACTATATATGCTTCAAATTCTTGAATTTTATAGATTTTCATAAAAGGTTTGTTTACTCTTAAAAAAGCCACCGAAATATAATGTATTTAAAGAAAAAGAAAAAAAGAAAAACCTTTCTAAAAGATGCACTTTTTGCTTAGGTCTCTTCCCAGTGATAACTTGAAAGCAAGAACTTAATAACTCCTCCAACTTAGCTGATTGCAAAAGCCTCAAATCCCTCCTCACCTAACATCCATTGTTCTTTTCTATTAAACAACAACGTATATGACTAAAGCTTATTCTCTGTTTGGCGGCTGAGAAAATCAA